TATATATATATATATATATATATATGTGTGTGTGTGTGTGTATGTATGATACATGTGTGTGTGTATTTCGCATGCTCCACACTCGTAAGGAATATGCGAGTATGTGCAGTCTACTGTACAACTCTTCTTACGGGATAAGAAATGTAATAAATGTACAGTAAGACTGCTCTATTTCTGTCTGCTCTTAACAATTAGAAAACTAAAAATAAAAACAGAATATCGTAAATCAGTGTTAATAATAAATTTGCTATTTTTCTAAAGTTAAGCATGGATTTATTTATTTTTATTTATTTATTTTTAGAGTTTTTTGCTATAGGGCGCGTGCTCTCGCCAGAAAGACAGAGACAGAGATAGAAAGCGAGAAATCACCCCAGGGGGGATGGCCACACCACAATCCCTTCTCCTCCATTCTCCTCTCAAGATCTTGGGCACGCACACACACGCACCCGGCATGAATTTAAGCCACTGGGTCCGGGACTCGAATTGCGGTTGACTATGGGAGTCCAGAGACATAGCCATTACGCTAACTGCTGGCCCCTCAATTTGCTAATTTTAAAAGGTAAAATATATACACTATATATAAAAATTTTGTTCAAATTTGCATGATAAAAATTAGAAATACAAAAATTCACTGTTCAGACTTAAAATAGGGGCAACTCCATAGTGTAGCTGTTAAGTGCTGCACAGAGGAAGCCAGATCCCACATGGCTGACCAGGCTTTAAGGCCCAGTCCCACCAGCTTGATAAAACATGCTAGGTGCATGTACGCACACGCCTGGGACCCTGATAGGGTGGTGGCATGGAGGAAAAAGGATACGGCATGACCGACCCATGGGGTGGGAGTGCTTTCTCTTTCTTGGGCACATGCTCATACGTGCTCTTTGGCATTAAAAAGCTTCTTTCAAATAATACAAATTACTGCGAATTAAAAATCCATCAAGAATAATACTTCGACACTCACTGGCTGAACCCACTGTCTGTCTGTAACACTGCCAACTGGCCCTGCTCGGCCATTAAACAGAATACTTGTCAGGACTAATCCTGAACTATGGGAGGCCTCCAGAACACACTCTGCACCGACTGTGACGGGTATGTATCTGAGAGACTCCGCACTTCCCCAGAGTGAAACATGCCATCAGGCGATACATTTAACCCATTTCTATCCCGATTCATCTCTCAGCTGACAGGACGCTATGGCTTAGAATAATACAATACATGGAGAGGAAAACGAAATTATAAGCCAGGAGCTGGTGAACTTGCTCTGTAAGGGTTCGTACAGTAAACGTCTCAGGCTCTGCAGGGGCCACAGTCTCTCTCCCATCTATGGTCTCTCAACTCCAGTGCTGTAAAAGCAGCCAGACGATACATAAAGGAATGGGCACGGCTGTGCTCCCGCACGGCCTTAGGGACGCCGCAAGCATCCGGTCAGATGTGGCCCGCAGGTTTCCTCAAACTGCTGAGCGTCAGCTCCCTCTCTATGCTAACGCACTTATGGAAGCATCTGACGTGCCAGCAAGCAGCATCAATATTCAGAGAGTGATATAAGGATACAATGTGATACTATGCCTAACATGTAGGTGAAGGAAAAAGTCAAATGGACACATTCTTAAGTTCAAATGTAACAGTCAATCTCAAACGCATGCCAGCTCTACTGTGTCCGCAGCAGCCCTGAGGACTCAAACATCGCACGCAACACTGCCAAAGACGGAGCGTTCTCTTTACCATTTTTTCTCCGGGATAGGGCGAGGCACAGCATTGACGCGACAAGGAAAGTTGGGCTGACCTGACAGATTTCGGCCAAGTATTGTACCAACAAGATTGAGAGGAAGAATAACAAAAAAACAGATGCAACAAACAGCCACCTGTAAATTAAATAAAAATGCGTGTGATTACTCAAAGAACAATATTAATAAAAACAAGTAACAGGGATGCTTAAAAGTTTAAACACAACATAATCACAAAAAATGTTAAGATCCAAATGGGCTAAGGCTGTACAATATATGCTAACAAAAACGTGAGAAGACCGTGCTGTGGAACACCACAGTTAAACTTAATACAAGTTGAGCTGTGCCCCAGCCACTTTCCCCCAGGCTTCCCGCTTTCCATACTGTCTGTATGTTACCAGTGTTTTGCTTGTAAAGTTGATATATGGTTCATGCTCTTGTCAGAGAGAAACAGAGAGAGAGACAGAAAGTAAGAAAGCATCCCCGGGGCGGGGGAGGGGGAGCCTAGCTACAATCCGTTCTCCTCCATCCTCTCCTCGGGATCTTGGGCGCACATGCACGTGGCTTGAATTTAAGCCACTGGGTTTGGGACTCGAACCTCGGTCAACTACATGGGAGTCCAGGGACATAGCCATTGTGCCAGCTGCTGGTCCCTAAAATAATTATTTTCATACAAATAGCTTTCTCCTAGTTAGTAGTTCAGTCTAAAATCATAGAAAAGAACACATAAAGATTCTAGAACCAAAGTGGCAAATTAGGGGAATACTTATTTTCGAAATTCCTGAGTTTTACAGAATCCAGGAACAAGGACGCACTCAAGCTCTTTCCTGGCCAGCGTCTCGTTATGGTCACTCCACGTAGAACTCCCTCAAGCATTCTGCTGATTATTCTACTGAGAACAGCTTTTTAACCACAATAAAATTTCAGATAGTCTAGAAAACGTTTGTTTTAGGTTTTTGCCATAGGGTGTGTGTGTTCGCAGGAGAGAAGTCAAAGGAGACAGAGAAAGAGAGAAGCCACCCCCTGGGGGATGGCCACACCACAATCCCTTCTCCTCCAGTCTCTTCTTGGGATACTGGACACACACGCACTCACACCTGATGTGGTTTTCCAGCTGCAGGGTCTGGGACTCAAACTGTGGTTGGCCATGTGGGAGTTCAGAGCCTTAACCCCACCTCCTGCTGGCCCCTTGTCTGACTTATTATACATAAAGAAAAATGTGAGCAGTCTGTCAGAGAGTGCTAGTGATTCAGCTGTGACACTAGTTCCCTACTTTCTTATGAGTTCTCAATGAGTTTACATGAAGAATACTCTGTCAGGTAGGCTGTTTAAAAAAAAATCACAAGGAACTAACTCATTCACAAAGTCAGGATTCTTCTCAATACCTGATATTCAACCAAATAACCTCGTGGCTGAAGATGATATAACAGATCTGTTATGCATCCCCTTGATAACAGATTTGTATTCAACACAGCCTAATTGTGCTCATTAAATCTGGAGTGCAAAGTTACTGAATTTACAAAATAAATGTATACTAGTGGAATCCTGTTTGTTTCTGTTTTCTATATTGGGCTTCCACATTAAGGTTTCCTTTTAAAATGGAAATTAAAAGCTAAGTGTTCAAAATCACTGGCCTAATATGCTGGTGAAAATCTTGGAACTCAAACCAATTGCAGGGTCTTCCCTTCTCCCCCAGCTACTGTTTATGTGCCAGGAGAGTGAAAGCAGGCAGTGGGAGAAGGCAGACTTACTGCACATGGAAATACTCCTCGCATCTACAAAAAGGACCAGTAAGACGTATGTTCTGCCCATCAGTACTTAGTACCTCAAACAAAGACCTACCAACCGGCCACTCTTCCGAATCTCAGTCGTAAACCAAGAATACGGCTACTACTTAGTCTGCCTTTAATTCCTGCCGGCCATTTACAAAATCCGGGGTGTAGAATGAAAAGGAAAACGAAGGGGAAAAAACAGCTTAAGATGAGCTATTCTGAGATGCAAATGAGAAAATTGTTTTAGGGTAATAGATAGTAATTATTTACAGGTAAGGTCATTCTTAAGAGATGTATCATTCTAGTGAGACATTACAATATTTAAGTATTTATTTGATACCTGCCCATAGTATATGATTTTTACCATCCATTTTCCAACTCATACATTTTATGACATGATGTATATGTAAAAATTATTTGGCCTAATTCACGTGTTTCAACAACTGGGCCTATTATTCAAGACCCTGCCAACTCAAATACAAATGTGTCTAAGAAGCCTATCTATATTATCTAGATATTTTCAACACATTAAAATTCACTATTCTGTTTCTTGGGTTACTTGAGTACTAACTATAGTGGAAAAATACTGGATTTGAAGTTAAAATTTTATTCTACAAAGCCAGATCTTAATACCAAAAAAACCCCACAAAAGACATTATAAGGAAAATACAGATCTGGGCCATCAGGCGGCATGGTGGTTAAAGCAGCTGGATCCCACATTGCCAGCTGCACAGTTCTAGGCCCAGATCTGGCAGGTGCATCTGTGTGTATGCCCAGATGCTCAAGAGGAGGATGGAGAAGAAAGGACAGCAGCGTGGCCATCTCCCCTGAAGGGTGCTTCCTCATTTTCCCTCCGTCTATCTATCTCCGGTGCACACACACACAACAAAAATTAAAAAAAAAACACTACAGATCAGTATCTCCCATAAAAATAGAAACATTTTTTTTACCAAATAAAATCCAGTATTTAAATAATTAATACACATAATGACAAATTGAGGCTTATCAAAGGAATGTAAACTGATTTAAATTGAGAAAATCAAAGAATGCTATCTATTCGTCATTTATTATCAGACTAAGACACACTACTGCAAAGAGGCAGCACAAGCTGTCCCCAGATGCAACGTCATCACCAGTGAACAGCCCCACCAACGACAGGTAAAGGGAGCTTCGCAGCCGGTCAAGGGCTTCGACAGCAATACATTTCAAATCTAACTCTGATTAACGCAAACCAAGTTATGGTGAGAGAAAGCAGACTGGAGGCTGACTGGCAGCGGGGGGGATTTAAAAAGGAAAGGAAAGGAGAGAGGAATTACAGAGGTGCACAAGGAAACTTCTGGACATGATGAATTTTCTTCTTTTTCTTATTTCAAATATCTGTGTTTTCATACGTAGGAAATGACAAACTGTATATTTTAAATATATACAATTTATGTTATCTATACTTCAATTCATCTATAAGACATAAAAACAAAAAGGGCAAAAAAATTCTCTAGGGACTGCCTACAGCTCTGCTCTCAGAATAAACCTAGAACTCCTTTTGACAGAAAGAAAGAAAAAAAAGTAGAAAAAATAAAAGCAGCAAAAATGTACCATCACTACCCCTATACCACAACACAGGAAATACGACTGTGAGCCAATCACTGTGTGACGGCATTAGCGTTCTGCTCTATAGAACAGGTGGGCCCGTGCTACTGGCTCTGCCTCCTTGGGCTTTTCTGAAAACCCTCAGTAAGACTCACAAGGGCTATGCACCTGTGTTCTTCTCTGCCACTGTGGTGCCCCGTCTTGTTAGACCTCGCGCAGTACGTCGGTCGGCCGAGCTCGTTTTAGACGCTGTCCTCAACATTAGTATGACTAGCCTCATGTCCTTTTCAACTTAATCCCATCTCCATGTCTTTACCCCAGTTACCAAGAATCATTTGAACAGGTCAAGTCAGGAAGACTGTTCACATTCTTCTGCAGGGAAATACGCGGCATGCGATGGGTGACATCCTCACCCTCTCACTTCCTAAGTGCTCGGTTCCGCACCTACCCGACTGTACTACTATTTTGGTCACATTTCCTGTCTTGACTAACACGATGTAATTACTTTATCCACACTCCTTTCTTTTCTAGTCTACTAAAACCTATCATTAAAAAATTTTTAATTACAGAAATGAAGCTGCTCTAGAACTCTGCTTTAATGGATGCATCCATATTGGCTCCTATCATCACTTCCTGGGATTTAAAAAATAAGTTTCAAGAACCCATTCGAGAATCCTACGCCTCAGCAACATCAAGTTCACCACAGTTTGTAATACTGAACCCGTTTCCTTCCTTTTCCGCTCAGGGAAAACAAATTTGCCTGTGTCCAGTGTGACCTCTCAGTTTGTCTAAACGTTTTTTGTTTTTGTTTTTGTTTTTGAAGAGAGAGAGATCTTTGCTATGGTGTGTGTGTGCCTGCCGGGGAAACAGAGAGACAGAAAGTGAGAAATGACCCCCAGGGAGGATGGTCACGCCGCGATCCCTTCCCCTCCCTAGAATACACGCGCACACACACCCAGCGTGAGTTGTAAGGCACCGTGTCCAGGACTCCAACTGCGGTCAACTGTGGGAGTCCAGCAATGTAACCATTACGTCATCTGCTGGTCCCTAGAAGTTTACTTACATGAGCAACGAGACTTTCAACTAAGGTGGCTGGGTAGTCCTGTACAACCAATCCCGTATCTAGCTTAGCGTCCTTTCCTTTCACCAGGAACTTCATTCCTCTTACTTTCCTAGTTTGAAGGTTTTTGTTTGATGAAAAGGAAAAAGAACGGGATAAAGCCATGCTTCCTTTACTCGTACAGCAATGATCCCGGTAATGAACCTTGGTCTTGATATGAAAATATTTCTGTAAAATCCTTGTTTGCTTTAGAATTGATCAGTTTAGTTTCTTAGCCACACTGATAGGCCTTCGTCACCCTTTCATACTCGGGGATACTGTACTCAACACTTGTGAGAGAGCACCCTTCTTTATTCTTTCCCTGTCAAAGCAGTACCCATCCATTGATCTTGGTCTCCCCACTTCTTGCCAAATTCCTTTAGTAATTTCTAAATTTCATTTCTGAGAATTTCTAGTTTTCAAGCCATTTTCCCAATTACGGTTCAAAGCTTGGGTCATGGGAGTTGCTTATAAAATCAAAGAATAAAAGGAGGTGGAGGCAACTATCGGTTTAAACTGAACCACGACTTCACAGAGGCTAACAATATTTTTTTTTGTTTTTGTTTTGTTTTGGTTTTTGCTACAGGGCGCGTGCACTCGCCAGAAAGCGAGAAATCACCCCCTGGGGGGATGGCCACGCTACAATCCCTTCTCCTCCATTCTCCTTGGGATCTTGGTCACACACACATACACCCGGCATGAGTTTAAGCCACTGGGTCCAGGACTTGAACCGTGGTCAACTACATGGGAGTCCAGCAACATAGCCATTACACTAATTGCTGGTCCCGACAACAATAGTTTTCACCTTACCTGAACCCCAGGACTGAGTAAGGACTAGCTAAAAAGACTTGATAGGTACTTTGGAAAGCTAATAGGCCTCATGTTAGAACGCTTACATTTTCTCAGTTTAAAATAACATTCAAACAATTCGATTTACCATTGTTCCAAAAGGAATGGCTCTTGAAGCATGGTAATAAATGGCTATGAAGTTGATGAAGAAGGCAGTGCCACACACCATAGCTGGGATAAGGAATGCCCCGATAAACATCTGCTTTATCCATCTCCTTCCTGGAAGAGAAGAGAAGCTATAAAACCAGAACTAGACAGGCAGACACGTATCAATGCTGAAAATGCAACGATTTACTACGCTCTTGTTTATTACAAACGTTACCTATAGAGGTCATGAAATGGGACATCCTAATGACTTTCAGATAACAGCTGGTACAGACCAGTCAAGCTCTTTAAGAATGTGCAACGGAAACACAGTCTCTGAAGTGGGCGGACTGAGAAAGAGCAATCATCTGTAGAGAATACCGTTGACTTGCCAGTGAACTTTGGTAAACCTTTTAATCTGGGCTACAAGGTGGCCTAGACAGGGGCTTCCAAAGTACTATGTATAATCCCGGAGCTTCTGACATGCCTGTGAAGTCACTGGTAAAGGAAAATCCCAGGGCCCCCAACCCTGCTTCAACCAGAACAATGCTATTTTTCAGGTTTTACACACTGAGGTTTCATGAAAGTTTTCATTTAAAAAGGGGGTAACAGGGCCAGCAGGTAGCCTGGTGGTTAAAGCACTGGATCACCACAGAGTTGACAGCAATTCAAATCCTGAGCCCAGCAGTTTGAAAATTATGCTGAGCACATGTGTGTGTGTGTGGTCAAAATCTCCAGTGGAGAATGGAGAAGGGGTTGCAGCACGGTCACCCCTCCTGGGAGGTGATTTCTCACTTTCCCTCTCTCCACATGCCCTATGGTAAAAACCTTAAAAAAAGAAAGAAGGGAAAGGAAAGGAAAGGAAAGGAAAGGAAAGGAAAGGAAAGGAAAGGAAAGGAAAGGAAAGGAAGAGGTGGGAGGGAGGCTATAATGCACTTAAAGGGCCAGCTGTTTATGTGATGAGAAAAGCAAACAGACCTCGGTATGGCCAACTGTGCAGTTTGAGTCTCAGACTGGCCTCTTGAAAACACACCAGATGTGTGTATGCATGCTCAAAATCCCAAGGGGAGGCAGAGACAGAAGGGAAGGGATGGTGTTGTTTCCTTCCCCCTGTCCCTGCCCTGTCCCTGCCCTGTCCTCTGCTGCTTGTCTTTCTCTGGCAAGTGCATGCAGTTCTGGCAAATTTAAAATACAAAAGAAAGAAGCAAAACACTTAAGAAACACAAATGGAAAATTATCTGTTGAAGATAATTGTGTAATAATATCTTTGACTGAACCAATATACAGAGTACGCTGGATAGGAAAAATTCATTTTGTATGCTGTAATGATATACAGTGAATGAATGTAATAAATAAAAATTAAAAATATAATAAAATAAACGTTTAAAATCCCCTGGGTTAAATAATCTCTAAGTTTACTCTAGGCTCTATAGTTATGATTATAAATATATTTTGCATTTGTTTGAGGAGGAAAAAAAGACAGAATGTTAGTCTTTTAATAAATATTTAAGAGTCAACAGCTCTCGGGAACCAGCAGTTAGTGTAATGGCTATGTCACTGGATTCCCACGTAGTCGACCGCGGTTCGTGTCCCGGACCCCGTG